AGTGGCGCTGTGGCTCAAGTGGTAGAGCGCTAGCCTTGAGCTGAAGAGCTGAGGGACAGCGCCCAGGCCCAGAGTTCAGGCCCCACGACTGGACCCAAAAAAAAAAAAAAAGAAACCTGCTTGTGCTGCAGCTGGACCACAGCAGTTCTTCATCTCATAGGATTGAAATACAAATGTCTAATATTGACATCTTTGTGTATTAAAATGTTGACTTATGTATAATAGGAAAGGAATGAATAAAAGAATTGACTGACCTGTATAAGAAATAGTCAAACACCCAAGGAATGAGTTGACTTTAAAAATAAGAGCATTGCATTGAGCCATAGAGCTGGAACAAATGTTCACTGGATGTTAGAGACTAGATTAATAGAACAAAGAGTTTTTGGAACATTTTTTGAGCAATTGGTTTGAAGTGTTCTGAGAACCTACAGCCAGATATTCAACACAAAGCTTCAGGCCAAGGCCACCTCACCCTCCTCATAATGGAAGCTTCCAGGCTCTATGGGTTGTCACAGACCATGATGTGATATATGCCAACCTCTTCTGCTCTAACTTTCTATTCTACATCATTAAAATGTATCACCATCTGTCCTGATCAATTAAAGGATATGTACTATGTTTCATTTCTTACATTTGTACTTCATTTTAATCTGTTTCAATAAACTTTGGTAGTCCAGCATTCATAGTTGATGTTGCCCAATGAGGTGAAAATGATTCCATGCTGCAACCTGTAAAGACTTACTTTTGAGGAAAACTCTCACCTGCAGAGGGTGCTGGTACAACAAAAGCCTTCAGTTCAACTTCATTGTTGGGTAAGGTTATCATTAGGTTATCCCCAGCATACACGCTAAGTTCTTTCACTAAAAATCAATTAGAAATAGTACCATTATCCCATTGACTAGGAATACTGCCACTACAGAATATGAAAATGTTATAGTGCTTCTCAACAGTCAATCAGTTTTTGTTGTTTTTTGTTTGTTTTTGTTGGTCTTGAGGCTTGAACTCTGGGCCTAGGCACTGTCCCTCAGCTCTTCAGCTCAAGGCTAGCACTCTACCACTTGAGCCACAGTACCACTTCTAGTTTTCTGGTAGTTTATCTTCCCAGGCTGGCTTTGAAGCATGATCCTCAGATCTCAGCCTCCTGAATAGCTAGGATAACAGGCACCCAGCAATAGATCAGTTTTTATCATCAATTAAATCATGTCACCAGGCACCAGTGGCTGATGCCAACAATAGTAGCTACTCAGGAGGTTGAGATATAAGGACCAGGGTTCAAAGCCAGACCAAGCAGGAAAGTCTGTGAGGCATATCTCCTATTAACAACCAAAATACCAAAGCCAAGCAAGAGAATGAGGCCCTGATTAGTACTCCCCTCTCCCACCATACAGATTTCTAATTGTCCTTCAGATAACTTTATCTGAGATACATTTTATCTGGCTGGTAATATTATGTTGAGAGACAGACTTTATAAATTTAAAATCATCTCTAAGAGTAGGTGCTATGAACAAAATATTGGTTGAAAATGAACAAGGTATTAGATAACAGGAAGTTCACAAATCAGGTGAAGTACTATGGATTGAGTTTTTTTCTCCTACAAGCTTTTCTCATCTCCCTGGTATGAGCTAGCTTTAATTACAAAAAAAATTAAGTGTGCTCCTAAGTGTTTCTACATCAATCATAGAACCATGTTTGGGTAGTATTCACATGAATGATTGCTGGTGGTTTGCTCTAGGAACCTTTCCCAGAGAAAATCCAGTCAAATTCAATGTGAAAAGACAATTTAACTCAAGCAGCAAGAACAGTGACTCTCAGCCAAAGCATGTAACTTCCGCACTCACTGAATAATCGGGGTTAGACTGACATAGGATAGTTCTATAAGGTTGCCTTGAGTAAACAATTTCTCTTGTAAAACACACTGTCAAAATATCCCACAGAGCCGGGCGCTGGTAGCTCACGCCTGTAATCCTAGCTACTCAGGAGGCTGAGATCTGAGGATCGCGGTTCAAAGCCAGCCTCGGCAGGAAAAATTGTGAGACTCCTATCTCCAATAAACCACCAGAAAACCGGAAGTGATGCTGTAGCTCAAGTGGTAGAGCGCTTGCCTTGAGCTGAAGAGCTGAGGGACAGCGCCCAGGCCCAGAGTTCAAGCCCCCACGACCAACAACAACAACAAAAATATCCCACAGAGAAAACACTGGGGAGAAAACAAAACATAGCAAAACTGAGTGCTCTAAGGAGTTCTCAGCTACTTGGAGATGTCAGAGGGACTTCTTGGTCAGACTAGTCTCCTCCCTTCAGTCCACAAGCCCGGCTCTCATTGGCTCTTCCCTTCCATCACTCACTCTCAATCTGAAAGGAAGCACTGGGGAAGAGAGTTGGGTCCAAATCTATCATTTTACTCACAGAGAATTTGAGCCCTACAAGGCCAAGAATGATGTCTGGGACTCTATGGATAATTAGCAATCGGTTCATAACTAATTAATTGAAATGTATTTATTTCAGCAAACCCTAACATACCAGATTGAATCATCAGGCACTGTTTCAAAGGCTTCAAAATGATTGATTGATTTAATCCTCCTAATTTTGTACTAGAGTGAAAGTGAAGTCCTTAGAGAAGCTGCACCTATATTAAACATTCTGCAGATGGATCTTAGCTGAGCTTCTAGAACATAGTGATTGTGGAGAAAGGAAAGATTGCAGGTCAAGAGCCAAAATTACCTTCAGCTATCCTAGGAAAAAAATTTCATCTGCTTTTAATCTTTGGATCTGATCTAAATTAGGAAAAGCTCTCAGAGTGTGTTGATAAGCTTTGCAAGCCTCAGATCTGAAAGCTACAGACTAGGGTTAGGCACCAGTGGCTCAAGCCTGTAATCCTAGCTACTCAAGAGGCTGAAGGCTGAGGGTTGAAGTTCAAAGCCAGCCCAGGCAGGAAAAGTCCATGAGACTCATGTCCATGAGACTTAAAAAGTTGGAAGTGGGGATGTGGCTCCAGTGGTAGAACACCAACCTGGAGTGAAAAAACTAAGCAAGAGTTCAAGGCTCTGAGTTCAAACCCCAGGACTAGCACACAAAACCGGACCAAATCAAACCAATCTATGGACTTTGCTGTGCAGCCTGCCTACCTAATACCCTCTTTCACAGAGGAGCACATCAGTTAAATGTGTCCCTGGTATACAGTCTTTCCTAACCAGCTCAGAATAAACTATCTGCTCATTTCCCTTATAGCAGAATCATTATTTTTTTTGTCAACACTAGGTACTAACAGAACAAAAGGAATCTAATTTCATAGGCAGATTTCCCCCCCCCATATACCAGAGCTTCCTGTCCACCCTTATCCTTTTCTCTGCTGAAGCTCAGAATCAAATTAAAAATATTTTTAAAAGGCAGAAAGATCAAGAATAAAAATATTTTAATTGAATTGCATTGATTGAAAACACTTAAAACAGGGCTGGGAAGTTGGCTCAGTGGCAGAGCGCTTGCCTTGCATGCCAGAGGCCCTGGGTTCGATTCCTCAGCACCACATGAGCAAGAAGAAAAAAGCTGGAAGTGGCACTGTGGCTCAAGTGGTAGAGCGCTAGCCTTGAGCTGAAGAGCTGAGGGACAGCGCCCAGGCCCAGAGTTCAGGCCCCACGACTGGACCCAAAAAAAAGAAAACACTTAAAACAAAGTTGGGAGGGAGTACTCAGATCTCTAAGGAGCCACAGCTTGTGACCTTTCACCTAGATTGGAGTCACACTCATATTTAGATTTGACCTTTGACACACTAATCTCTGTGGATTTAACAATGACCTCCTCCCCCACCCACCCTCAATTCCAGAAAGCGAATCTGTACTGTTTTTTTTTTTTTAAAACATAGCTCAACTTTGGGCAATCACAAATGATGAATTAATGATTTACCCCTCTTGGAAAAATGGGAGCACATTTGCAAGATTGCAATCCTGCTTAAACCCACAAAAATGTAGTTTAATTTATTCTTGGTTCAGGTGATTTTGTTGTTGGTTAACAAGGAGTAATATCCAAAGTTCATTATCCACAAAAAAGCTCAGACATGTGCACTTGCATACTCTAATACAACTTCTTTGCTAGAAAAATTGGATACCCTTTTCATTCCTCATCATTGCCTCAGCAATGCATGCATGATACTTTGGGCACATTTTCCTTGGTGGATTTGTAGAGGACCATATGCTGCCCCAGATTATGGCTGCACAACAAATAAACCACAGCAATAAGCCTTTTGGAATAAGGATTATTTTGAGCTGCTAATTTGTAGAAAAAGCAAACACAGGTAAGCTCCTTACATTTGAGTAAGGATAGTTGCATGTATACAGGAAATCTCTATGGATAAATGTTAATACCTTTATCCAGCTAATCTATCACCACCCCCAAGAAGAGGCAAAGACTTAAATCTACATAACAACACATTTGCTAGCAAGGATGTGAAGAAAAAGTGTCTGTTACAAATATACTCTACACATTCCTTTACCCAAATATATCCAGTCATAGTTGCCCAAATCCATAGACACAGATCTAGAAAACAGGGCTATGTATGAGATAACACATATCATATCAAATTTTTGTTTGTTACAGGCAGCAATTAGCCATGAGCAATGAGGAAATGCAAAAAAAATATAACATCCAGTATGAGACCTGGCAGTAGCTGAAAGAAAACAATGTCATAGCTGGGCGCTGGTGGCTCACACCTGTAATCCTAGCTACTGAGGAGGCTGAGATATGAGGATCGCAGTTCAAAACCAGCCCCGGGAGGAAAGTCTGTGAGACTCTTTTTTTTTTTTTTTTTGAGTCAGGTCATGGGCCATGGGTCTGGGCCTGGGCACTGTCCCTCAGCTCTTCAGCTCAAGGCTAGCGCTCTACCACTCAAGCCACAGCGCCACTTCCAGCTTTTTTCTTTTTGCTTATGTGGTGCTGAGGAATTGAACCCAGGGCCTCAGGCATGCAAGGCAAGTGCTCTACCACTGAGCCTCCTTCCCAGCCCCATCTGTGAGACTCTTATCTCCAATAAACCACTAGAAAACCGGAAGAGTTGCTGTGGCTCAAGTGGTAGAGCTCTGGCCTTGAGGTGAAGAGCACAGAGACGGCGCCCAAGCCCAGAGTTCAAGCCCTACCACCCCCCCCCCAAAAAAATGTCATTCCAATTAAGGTGGACCAGCCTCTGGGATCCACCAAGATCATGAAATGTTTCAAGCTGCTTTTCTTTGTGTTATTAGTACCCCCACCCACCTAAGGATTAATGAAAGACTTCCTGCCAGCCTAAGATAGATCAATGAATCAATAGTTACTACAGCAAAACTAGATCTTTAAATTACTTACCCAGGTCAAATGGAATTCATTAAAACTCTCCTAACCATTGTACAGTAGCTGGGTCTCAAGAGCTGGTTCTGAGAGAAGATTTAATGCTCCAGGCCCCAAACATTTCAATAAAAACTTGTGCTGAAGTAGGGCGCCAGTGGCTCACACCTGAGATCTGAGGATCGTGGTTCAAAGCCAGCCTAGGCAAGAAAGTCTATGAATCACTTACCTCCAATAAACCACCAGAAAACAGGAAGTGGTGCTGTAGCTCAAGTGGTAGAGCTGAAGAGCTGAGGGACAGTGCTCAGGCCCAGAGTTCAAGCCCCATGACAAAAATAAATAAATAAATAATGTAGTATTGCTCCAAAATGGCCTCTCTGTCTCTCCTTGCTAAGTTTTATCGCCTAGACTAACATTATTGAACCTTCAAAAAAAAGCCAGAACTTTCCTACAACAGAATGTACTGGGTTTGGTACCTGGCACTCTAAAAATACTGGGTAAATGTAATATTACTACTGCAATTATGCATGATTCTCCCTTGATATGGGCAACAGACCAAGCCCATTTCAGCTTGTTCACTCCACACCGGCATTAACTCCACTGAAGACCTTCTCTAGCCCCTCTCAAAGAGTCAGGTAACCCTCCCTTTCCCCATAGCTTCCCCTCCCAGCATTTAGCATAATTTATCAGACCCACCCATTTACCTGAATGTCTCTTCCCCTAGAGGAAAAACTATGTCTCTGTCATCATTATTCCCAATGCCGAGCACTGTCTCTAGCGTATGATATATGCTCAACACGGAGGCCAGTGGGAATGAAGAAACTTTACAAGTTGTCATTCTTATGGTCTATAACATCTCAAGTACATTTCTTCCCGTTGTAATTTTAAAGATTACCTGTCCTGGAAGCAGTGGGAGGAGGTACGGATCCCTCAGGTGTGGAGGACCCAGAAGGGGCAGTGCTAGGGGCAAGTGTTGGAATGCTGTGTTCTGTGTTCCCCAGAGTAACTGTGAGGCCTGGGCTTCCCTCCATGGCAGCTGGGCTGGACTCCAGGCTGGCGGGAGGAGGATTATGGGAAGGTATTAGAACCTATGAGATTAATTACAAGAATACATCGTTATGGAAAATAAATCATGAACTCTTTGAGAAGCACAATGTCACAAACATTTTTGCATAAATTTTTTCATAAATGTTTGAAAAGCCCTGACTAATAATGCAAAACTCTGGAACTCCAGGCGGTTTCTTTCAAATACTCTCTCTGATATCAGAAAGGTTTGGTGAGTTGAGCATGTAGCTCAATGGTAGATCACTTGTCCAGTATGCTCTAGCTTTGATCCCTCAGCACGCCAAGAGAAATTTCTTTTTGTCCATCCTAAAGCTTGAACACTGGGCCTGGGCACTATCCTTGAGTTCCTACTGCTCAAGGCTCGCACTCAACCACTTGAGCCACAGCACCACTTCTAATTTTTAAGTGGTTAGTTGAAGATTAGAATCTCACAGGGACTTTTCTGCCTGGGCTGGCTTCAAACAATGAGCCTCAGATCTCAGTCTCCTGAGTAGCTAATGAAGTAAGGAGGTCAGGTCTGGCCAGGGCCATATTGGCCACATGGTGGATAGTAGGGTCTAGCATCTTGTCTTCGTGCTGGTGGAAGGAAACGCCTCCACCCACCACCTACCTCCCAGGTGATGGGCTGCCTGGAACCCTGTAGGCAGGGGTGGCACTTGGCTGATAGGTTACTGAATCTGTCAGTCCAGTGCCTGGGACTGGGAATTTCCTGTGGACCTGCCCTCTGCTTGGACCCTATTTACTACCGGACCAGCCCAACCACCAGTATGACATGCCATGTGTGTCTCCATGGTCATGTCCTGTGTCTTGTGTCCTGTCTCCTGGCTCATTTCTGGTCATCATAGTGTCCCAATTCACTTTTCCATTGGACCTGAATTGGTTTGTTGGTATTGTTTTTGTTCTTTCCTCTCTAGCCTGTTTCCTAACAGTGTTAAGTGTATATGGGGGCTGCGGGCCTTTGTAACAACTGGGTGCCAACAGCCTGCTAACTGTGTAATAAAGAATCCAATATTCCGTGTTTCAAAATGTGGCTTCTAGAATAATGCACTTTACAACACTAAGATTACAGGCTTCAGCCACCCATATCTAGTAAGGGGGAAAAAATTTTTAAGCAGTTGGTCTATAATCTTAGTTACTCAGAGGGATGAGAACTAGGAGGCTTGTGAAGTATACCTCAACTGGTAGAGTGCTTGCCTAGCAAGTGCAAACCTTCAGTTCTAACCCATCTGAGAAAAAACTAGAGCTGTGACTAAAACCACACATACAAATAAATATTAAAGATAGAAAAAAAAACCTGTAATAGCCCCAGAACTAATTAGTATAATAAGTAGAATGTGTGTGTGCCACTCCCTCAATTCACTTATTGAAGTCCTAATACCCCCCCATCCCAGCCTCCCCCCCCCCCCCCAATCCCCAACCTTCTCCTTCCCCCCCCCCCCCCCCCCCCCCCCCCGCAATGTGAAGGTCATCGGGAAGGACGGAGCCCTCAAGAAAAGGACCAGTTCCAGGGTAAGATATAGACAACTAGGTGTGCTGCTGTCAATCTGGAGTCCCAGCTGAGGCTAGAGGATCACAAGCTTGAAGTCAGCTACTTAGTCAGCGAGACTCTGTCCCAAAAAATAAATAAATAAAGGTAACACAGAAAGAAGCAAAAGGGCTGGAGATGCCAGCTCCGTGGAACTGAACTTGGCTAGCATCCGAGAGGCACTGGGTTCTATCTCCAGCCCTGCCAAAAAAAAACAAAAGGAGAGAGAGAGTCCATAGGTCTACTTAGTTCTCTTCTTGGGAGGCTATAGCAAGATAATGATTATCTGAAAATCCAAGTAGGCCTTCACCAAGGCTCTGACTCTGCTAGAACCCTCACCAGAGACTGCTAGCTTCTACAAATGTATGGTATCAGTGCTTGGGTTTTTGTTTGTTTTTTTGTCTTGTTTTTGTATTAATTCTGGGGCTCAGGTCCTGGGCACTGTCCCTGAGATTTTGTGCTCAAGGGCTAGCCCTTGAGCCACAACTCAGAGATAAGAATCAGAGTTAAGAATCTTAAAAACTTCCCTGCCCTAGCTGGCTTGGTACCACCATCCTAGATCCCAGCCTCCTGAGTAGCTAGGATTACAGGTAAAGAGCCACCAGTACAACACCTTACAGCACTTGTTATTTAAGCCCTGATTTTATGGAATTTTGTTAATGTCACTTACAATTGACTTACAATAATGAAAAACAATCAAAATAATCCAACAATAAACAGATCCCTGGAGAGAATGATCTCTATTTGTATTCTCTATTGTATGTTAACCACAACTTGAACTGATAATTAAACACACTAAACTTTTAAAATTAAATATTATGCTACTGGAAAGCAAAGTGCTCCCTGGAGTCTCCACAGCCCCTATCTGGGTGGGGCAGCATAGGCAGAGTCTAAACACCCACTAGGTACCAGTAGCAACTAGTAAAATCTTCGATAATTAACTTCCAAAACCAGGACCCAAAAAAAAAACTATTAAAAAATTAACTTTAAAACATACTTCAAACTAAGAGAAATCAGTTGACCAACATTTTAAAAATCCCCTGGTGAATCGATCATAATTTTCAGATACTCAGTTTCATTGGCTCAATCATAATTTTCAGATACATTAAACTTACAGGCTTCTGGATTTTAAACATAAATGCAAATATACATGGCTGGGCCCAGCACCAGCCCTGTCTAGGAACAGGGCTTCAGTGCCAGAAAATTAGAGTAGCAATCTAACTACATAGAATGAGCTGGTTGTCTCCTTTTGTTTTTATTTAAGTTCTGAAAAATTATTAAGTTTAAATAAAGAATGGAAGGGCATTGGACATAAAGTAACTCAGCCTTGGGTTCAATCTCCAGCACTACTAAGTAAGAATGAAGAGGCTAGTATTATGGCTCAGAGAGAGGTAGAGCTCTTGCATAGCTTTCATGAGACTATGGGTCTGGTTCCAAACAACACATTTACTATTGAATTATGGATACTGGATTTAAGTAATGCTATCTTGCCCTTACACTGTTTTGGCATCTTAACAGATGATAGGGAAATTTTCACCCAGTTCCAAGAACTCTAAAGTTGATATAGGACTTTCTTTGATCTGCAGATGTTTTGTGAGTTGTTAAGTAATATAGAGGTGATATTCTTTAAATTGCAGGTGTCTCATGAGTATTGTTTAGCTCCAGGAAAGTTTTGCTCCAGAGAATACTTGGCTTTGCTTGTCCTTGATTGTTTCCTCTAAATAGCTTGCTTCAGTAAAACAACTTTTGCTAGTTCCCATACCATGTGACATCTTCATTGATGTGGTTTTTTGCTATTATAAGCTCTGTAAAAATTACATTCAGGGCTGCAGGTCTTGGGGACAGGAGTCCACCTGCAGGCACCAGCTTTCTAATAAAGGCTCCTGATTCGACCTCTCAAAATGTGGCTTCTCTGTATCTTGCTGATTGAATCACTGTATAACACCATTACCACTACCACTACCACCACCTTCAATGAAGGTAGAAAGTCATTGGAAAAATTAAGACACCACTGATCAGGATCACAAAGCCATCAGGAAACAGTTATGGAGAAGACAACTCTACTCCAATTCCTGTACATCTACTTCCCACCTCACTGCCAGCCTCTGATTCTTTCCTTCCCTGCTCAGGTCATCCCCACAAAGCTCCTTGCCAACTCATTCTTAATGAAGCTCTCTTCCACATGCCCCAGCAAAAGAAAATGTATTATGTATCTGGAAGAAAGGAGAATATTGTCCATTTCAGCACTGCAAGTAGAGTTGAGCCTAGACTCAAATGCCTCTTGTCTGTATGTAGTTTCTCTGCTGTTCCTTTGAAATACCCATTTTCAGTCTTGTCCACTTAGAAGCCAAATGGCAAAAACACATGTCCTTTATCCCCTACATGTTTGATCTTGTTTTTCCTAGACAGCCTATTTAATGGTATCATTTTTTTATATACTAGGGCTTGAAATCAAATCAAATCAAAATCTATTTTGCTGTCCCTTAGCTTTTTTGCTTAAGGCTAGCACTCTGCTACTTGAGCTACAGCCCCACTTCCTACTTTTTGGTGGTTCACTGGAGATAAGAGTCTCACATACTTTCTTGCTCAGGCTGGCTTCCAACCATGATCCTCAGATCTCTGTCTCTGAAGTAGCTAGGATTACAGGAATGAGCCACCATCACCTAGCCAAAATAATTACCTATAAACAAACAAAACTCTTTGCCAATCTCCCTAGAAAATCTATTTTGCTTTTATTTACAAATTCATTTCAATGTCTATACACTGATCTGGGCTGGCATTCTATTTGAGTTATGCCTCCAGCCTTTTTTTATATTTCAGACAACCACTATGCCCAGTTTTCTCTCTGAAATAGGGTATCACTAATATTTTGCCTGGGCTGACTTCAAACTATGATCTTATCTTCCCCCTCCCAAGCCGGGATTACAGCGGTGAGTCATCATTTAAACTTTTTTTTTTCCTTGTCAATCATGGGCTTGAACTCTGGGTCTGAGCGCTGTCCCTCAGCTCTTCAGCTCAAGGCCAGCACTCTATCACTTGAGCCACAGCACTACTTCTGGTTTTCTTGTGGTTTATTGGAGAGAAGAGTCTCATGTATGTTCCTGCTCAGGCTAGCTTTGAACATGATCCTCAGATCTCAGCCTCCTGAGTAACTAGGATTATGGGTGTGAGCCACCAGTGCCCAGCTAGAGCCAAAGGATTTTGAACAGAGCATCATTTGCCATAGTTCCATTCAGAGATGCTAGAAAGTAAATGACTTAGCAACATGAAAGAGGATAGATGATATAAACATGTGTTATATAAAGATAATACTTTTAGATATTTTCAGTTGAAAGGTTTCTTATTCATTTTAATTCAGTTATAAGAATGGAAAATATAACGTAGCAAAAAAGCACCTTTTTCTGATCAGTATTTTTTTTTCTTTCTTTTTTGGGGGGGGTCTGGTCGTGGGACCTGAACTCTGGGCCTAGGCGCTGTCCCTCAGCTCTTCAGCTCAAAGCTAGCACGCTACCACTTGAGCCATAGCACCACTTCCGGCTTTTTTTTTCTGCTTATGTGGTGCTGAGGAATTGAACCCAGGGCCTCATGCATGCAAGGCAAGTGCTCTACCACTGAGCCACCTTCTCAGCCCCTGATCAGTATTTTGAAATGACTTCTACTCCTATTTTATGGTTGAGATTCTTATAGTCAATGGAATCTAATGTTCTTTACTTATTCTAACCTAAATACCAAAGTTTAACTAGTATTTTCTTCTCCTTCTCCTTTTTGGTGCCAATCCTGGGACTTGAACTCAGGGCTAAGGTGCTGACCCTGAGCTTTTTTGCTTAAGGCTAGCACTCTACCACTTGAGCCTCAGCTCTGCTTCTGGCTTTGTGGGTAGTTAATTGGAGATAAGGGACTTGGAATTTCCTGTCGAAGCTGGTTTCAATCGTGACTTCCTCATGGCCCATCCATGTTGAAAGGCTCTGGCCAAGCCCAGCCTTCCTGCTGCTGGCTCTCTCCCAGCTCTCCTCCACCCTCCACACCAGCACATCCTGTGCACACTCACCTCTTTCCCAGAGCTCTTGCTCCCTTGTTCTTGATGCTGAAAAGCCTCTTCTTCTTTCTTTGGAACCCCTCCTGAAGTTGAAAAGTTCACCAAGGGAAGCAAGGTGACAGCACTGCTGTCTGCAGAGTGCTTGGGGACAGGGGTCCAAGTTGTCTCTCTAAGTGCATGTGGATCCAGGTCATGGGACTCTGGGTCCTGGGGCTTCTCCGCTGAAGCTGTAAGGGTGTCTCCAGCAGCAGATGTGTTCAAACCTCCCTGGGTGCCAGGCAGTAGGCTCCAGTCCGGGTACTCAGCACTCCCTCTGGGATCCTGCTGGCCCACAGGCTGGAGAAAGCCCCGCTCCAGCTGGCTATAGTCATCGGGGTACTCTGCCATCTCCTCCAGGCCCCCATCTTTGCCTAGAAAGGGCAAGTCCTTCATGATATCCTCCAGTGTGTCCCCCCAGACCCTCGAAGGGGGATCCTTGTTCAGCATCATCTCTCCGTAGTCCAGCAGCTGTGTGGGTCTCTGGACAGGTCTGAACACAAAGGTGAGATAGGAATTGATGGGGCCTATCTTGGGTTCACAGTTCTCTCTGTGAGGGCAGCTCACCAGGTAGCAACTTCCCTTAAACCACCAGGCCAAGTCACAACTGGCCAAGCCACAGCAAGCGGCTGTGCAGTCACCCATGGAGAAGGTCTGTGACACCCGTGTGATTCTAATGGTTTCCAGGCTAGGTGAAATGATTGCATTGGAATAGGTCTTCCCCTCACTGCACTGTTGAGAGGCACCACCTGCAAACAAGGCAGACACTGAGGAAACAAAGCATATGACAGTAAAACAACCCCAGAGATCAGAGCCTTATCAACCTCTGGCAACTATGTCAAGCAAGCAAGCAGAATTATTTCCTATAGACAGATCTCTGTCATCCATCCACCCACCCATACTATATGCAATGTACCCTCCAACTCTCTACCCACTCTCCAACTCTCTACCCACTCAGCAATTTTTCATTCTTCATCCATATAATAATTATCATCCATCCATCCATCCATCCATCCATTCATCGATCCATCCTTCTATCTTTCCTCCCATCCAACCAGCCATCTCCATCTTTCTATCTATCCCTCCATAGATTCTTTCACCTATCCATGCATAACTTCAATCTCTTCTTTAAATTTCCTCCCATTTAGATAACAGAAATATCTGTCAATCTGTGAATAGGACAGTCTCACAGAGCTAACTCCAGTAGCTCAGACCTACAATCCTAGCTACTCAGGAGGCTGAGATCTGAACATTGTAGTTTGATGCCAAGTCCATGAAACTCTTATTTCCAATTAACTACCAAAAAGTCAGAAGTGCAGCTATCACTCAAATAGTAATGAGGTATTCTTGAATAAAAAAGTTATGAGCCAGTGTTTAGGCCCTGAGTTCAAATCCCAGTATCAGCATACACATAAACACACACACACACGCGCGTGCGCGCGCACGCACGCGCACACACACATGCACAGTTCCATAGACTTTCTTGCCCAAGCTGACTGATCCTCATATCTCAGCCTCCTGAGTAGCTAGGAGTACAGGTGTACACTACCAGCGTCTTGTTTCTGTAGTGATTTTTCATTCCTGAAATCCAAGAACAAAATCTCTTTTCCCTATACTTGTTTGTTCGGTATTTAATACAAGAATCATTTTGTGGCAACCTGATACCAAAACAAACCAATCCACAACTAATTTGAGAAGCACTGTATTAAAGTTTGGCTGCAATCATGAGACTCCCCACAGTACTTGCCCATGCCTCAACCACTTGCACCAGGAGCACACCTTTAAGGGGAGGAAAACAAGGGACCCTATATCTAACAGGCTCTGAAAGAACCTGGTATAAGGGCCCTATCTTGTATAAGAAGTCCATTTTGCTACTTTTTGCTTTCAAATAAACCTGCTCTTTTTGCTTCAAACAATAACATTTGGCTGTAGAGCCAGAATGTCAAGGAAATTTCTTTGCTAGTTAGGGTATATCAATGAGAGAATATCAGAGATTGCTTCTAAATGAAAATGGCTATATACCATATAAAATTGTTTATTTCTATACAATATCAAGAAATAGATAATTTTTAATAACACTGACTCTAGTACAAGTTAGTAGGAATTAGATAGACACCTCTTCCAAAGAATAAGCAGCATTTTACCAGGGCTGAGGCCCTGATGTCATTTTCTTAAGTGTAAACTCGTGTGTGTGTGTGTGTGTGTGTGTGTGTGCGCGCGCGTGCGCGCGCCAGTCCTAGGGCTTGAGCTTTTTGCTCATGGCTAGCATTCTACCACTTTAGCTACAGCTCTACTTACAGCTTTTGGGTGGTTTATTGGAGATAAGAATATCATGGTCTTTCCTGCCCTGGCTGGCTTCAAATCACAATCCTCAGATCTCAGCTTCCTCAGTAGCTAGTATTTTTTTTAGAAAGTAGCATTAGCTCAGATATGGAGGAAATAATAATATATTCTGGTTTGTCAAGATCAAGAGATAATGGAATAGAATACAGATGAGTAATCTCCAACTCCAAACTCTACTCTCAAAAACATTGTTGTGATCATAGATGCTGGTGGAGATGTAGCAAAAGGAAATGCTACTACACTGTTGGTGGGAATGTAAACTTGTTCAACTACTCTGGAAAGCAGTATGGAAGTTCCTAGAGAGATTAAACATAGAGCTCCCCTAAGATCCAACAATCCCACTCCTGGGCATTTACCCAAATGACCACAAACAAGGCCACACTAAAACTAACCAGCACAATTATGTTCATTGCAGCATTCTTTACCACAGCTAAAATATGGAATCAGCCCAGATGCCTCTGAGTAGATGAACATACCAAGAAAATGTATACATATATATATGTATGTGTATACACACACACACACACACACACACACACACACACACACACAATGGAATTCTATGCTTCCATCAGAAATAATATTGCTCCATATGTAAGAAAATGGAAAATCTTGGAAAAAAATCATACTAAGTGAAGTAAGCCAGACCCAAAGAAACATAGGCTCCATGGTTTCCCTCATTTGTAAAAACTAGAATATGTCTAGGATAGTTCTATCAGAGGATTACAATAGCTATATGTACATATGACCATATAAAATGATGCTAACTGAAATGAACTCCACGATATGGAAACAAGAGTTTTTTTGTTTTGTTTTGTTTTAGTGTACTGTTTGCAGTTATTTCTTTTTTCTTTCATTTTCCCCCTATGGCTTATCCCCTGTTGTCACTGTTTTTTATTTCAGTACCCTTAGTCTTGTATACAAGTTTATCTGATTTGGAGAAGAGAAGGGGAATCACAGAATGGTGAGGACAAAGGACAAAGGGTGAACCAATGCAACAGGGATACTTACAAGACACTATGTTGGAAATAAACTTTACAACTTGGGGGAAGGAGAGTCAGAGGAAAAGGAAAAGTGAGAAAAAGAATGAGGAAAGGGGTAACACTGACAAGAAATATAATCTTTTCCTTACTTATGTAACTGTAACTTACTCATCACCTTAAAATTAATTAAAAATAAAAGTTGTTAGAGATACTGCTATATCTGAGTAACATTCACTCACGCTAGAAATTTTTTCCAAACCTAAATGTTAAGATTTGCTTCAGTTCCCTGATGACACAGTTGGTTCATCTCCTTTTGGATAATGTGACTCAGAAAAAAATGAGGTTTCTGGCTGGGAATGTGGCTCAGTGGTAGAGTGCTTGCCTTGCATGCATGAAGCCCTGGGTTTGATTCCTCAGAACCACATAAGCAGAAAAAGCTAAAAGTCGCACCATGGCTCAAGTGGTAGAGCACTAGCCTCGAGCTGAATTGCTGAGGGACAGCACCCAGGCCCAGAGTTGAGGCCCCAAGACCAACAACAACAAAAAAAAAAAAGGAAAAGAAAAGAAAAAGAAAAAAGAAAGATGATGTTTCATTTCTGATCTTTTTCTAACAGAAAGCTCAAGAGTTGCCTTTTAAAATAGTGTCACAAAAGTGAGGCACTGGTGGCTCATACCTGTAATCCTAGCTACTCAGGATGCTGAGATCTGAGGATTGCGGTTCAAAGCCAGCCCAGGCAGGAAAGTCTGTGAGACTCTTATCTCCAATTAACCACCAGAAAATTGGAAGTGGCACTGTGATTCAAGCAGTAGAGTTCTTGCTTGAGCTGAAGAGCTCAGGGACAGCGCCCAAGCCCAGAGTTTAAAACCCATGACCAAAAAAAAAAAAGGTGTCACAAGGCATACTGCATAGGGAAAAGACTGCTATCCCAGAGCAGGTAACTGTCACAATATGATAATGACATCTTTCTGTGAATGAGGCCTTTGACTGAAAGCTTAAGGTGGTTTACAGTCTAACTGGAGGAAGACTTATGGTATAACTCTAGGACAGACCACATCTGTTCTGCAAATATTGCCTAACAGGGAGTTGTTTAGATAAATATACTTTAAAGCAGGGTTCTTGAAGCTAAACAGAAATTTAAGAAGTGGAACTCCTAATAACTAAGTCATTTTCCTTTGGGCCTAGTTGCCATGGTTACTTCAGAACCAGCTACACACTCCAGAAAACTCTTGAAAGACCATTCAACTCCTGGGAGCTAGGAGACCTATCAATGACGTTCACATTCTCTACAAATCCTAGCCAAATCAAGAACACAGAGGCCCAGAATGACTGTTTATATATCAATAATATCATTGTAAGTATTTAAAGGTAAGAAAGAAAAAGAAGACAAGCTAAATGTGAATAACATTAGTGGAACTCAGTAACTCTATTTAAAAATTTGAATCAGTAGAAAACACCTCAAAAGAAAAGGGCAACAAGAAGAAATAAAAAGGTACGGATTTGATTAGAAAAAAATGAATGGCTAGACACTGATGATACAATATTAGATATGACAATATAAGTACTTCTGACAGTTATCACAGTATAGAGTATATTAAGCATGAAAAAGGGATGTTTTTTCCTTTCACACTAAGCAGTGTGATAGATTGGATAGATTGGGTGGGATGTACTCTGTAGGGCATAGCAGTGCTTTTCCAATGGCAGAACTTTCTGAAGTGGCCCTTGTATCATTTAAAGTGACACTTCTCAAAATTTAGGTGTTTCTGAATCATCCTCAGCATCCTTATGGCTCTATATCATTTTGACAAACTCCATACATAAAAACAGTTTCTCTAGCTACATCTCTATTTTCAATTACTGCTACACCCAAATAGGTTCAGATCTGAGGCTCACCAAACATTTCATGATGTAAGTGTATTCCTGATAAGCAAAACTGGGTATGGGAAAAATCATATATATGGAAAAGTGGAAAAATCATATATATATAATACATATGTTTATATATAAAATACTAAATATATAAACTATACTATAAATTTATAAATTATATATTGTATCTACAAATATGTTTATATATATAAATATATGTATTTACACATAAATATGGACATTTTGATCCTTGCAAAAAGACCTATTGTTAAGTTAGTGGCTTACACATGTAATATGAGCTACTCAGGCAGCTGAGATCTGAGTTTTATGGTTCAAAGGCAGGAAAGCCCATGAGACTCATCTCCAACTACTCAAAAAAGCCATATGTGGAGCTATGGCTCAGGTGTACAATGCTACCTTTTTTTTTTTTTTTGTCGGTAGTAGGCTTTGAACTCTGGGCCTGGGTGCTGTCCCTGAGCTATTCAGCTCAAGGCAAGTGCTCTACCACTTGAGCCACAGCACCATTTTTGGTTTTCTGGTGGTTAATTAGAAACAAGAGTCTCATGGACTTTCCTGCCTGGGCTGGCTTTGAACCGTGATCCTCAGATCTCAGCATCCTGAGTAGCTAGACTTACAGGTGTGAGCCACTAGCCCCTGGCATGAAATTCTTTTAAATATTCATATGTAGCCGCTTCCCCCTAGAATACATAAAATAAGTCTCATGCCTGTAATCCTAGCTACTCAGGAGGCTGAGATCTGAGGATTGCAGTTCAAAGCCAGCCCAGGCAGGAAAGTTCATGAGACTCTTATCTCCAATTAACCGCCAGAAAACCAGAAGTGTTGATATGGCTCAAGTGGTAGAGCACTCACCTTAAGCTGAAGAGTTCAGGAACAGCGTGGAGGCCCAGAGTTCAAGCCCCATGACCAACCAAAAAATAATAATAACAAACACATTTAACTTTTTCCCAAAAAACCACTTGTGCATGCAATATATCTTTATATGAAAAAGAACTGTACTGTAAAGCAAACATACAGCCCCATCATTTCATACTGATCTGATTTGCTTAAGACAGATGGGAAACTCCAGCCTACCCTTGGCATTAGCAGGGTAATGGTTGCCTACCTGCAATGGTCACTAGCAGCAGCACAAATGTGAGGTTGGCCATTCTGCCTCACACAGGGTGATGGCAGGCTTCCAGGGCAAAGATTTGGCACAGGTTCCTTTTGGTGTTTTTAGGAGTCAGATTTGGCCTCTAGAACTTTAAAGGAAAAAGAGACAGAAAGAAAACAGTAGGTAAATGTGGAAACATACAAAATCATTCCTGTCATTTATCCATGTCAATGTGAAGGCTGACCCATTTACTTCTTACAACTATATCCCAGGAGAAATACCCATCCAGACAAGTATGTTCAAAATAGCTAGTACAGTTCCTAGGAAGAAGTAACAAAGACCAACCTAATAAGAAAAGCTTGGTATAGAAGAGGAATCAGTCATCATTGGGTTTTGGCAGAGACCCAGAGGCAGGCAGAGAAGCAGGAAGGCTTTCTAATTGAAAAAAGGAAGGCTTCAGGTGTGCATTGAGTGGCAGCTGCTATACACAAGCTAACTAGAACTGAGCCATCATCCTGTGATTAGCTAGGGGAGTGTATCTGGCTTTCTCTGGTTGGTCCTTAATTGAATGAGGCACTAAGAACTAAGTAAGCTGACAGTTCGTAAGCAAAACTTGTAATTTGGGGCTAATCACTATAGAAGTTATTTGGCTTCTCAAATTAGAGAGAGCAATCCAGCTACCTCCATGTCTTCCTTAGAGCAGGCTGGTTATTGTAAATAAGGGATTGGTTTTCTGCACAGTTTGCTGTAGGTCATGGGCCAAAGTTCCATTTTTATATATGGTCTGGCCATTGTCCATTTGTTTTTTTTTGTTTGTTTTGTTGGCTTTTAATCTTCAAATAGCTGCACAAAGGAATTTCAATTTAATATGTTCACTTGGGCATTGTTCATTTGTATGCTGAGTCTCTGAAAGCCCAAATCTATAAGATGTTGGCATAGGTCATACTGTTCTATTTTAATCAGTTCTAATGTGTAAATGTTTTCTCATTTACAATCTCTGACATCAGGCTGTCTTGTAATTGTAACTGGTCACATGGCAGGGAGGAAAGAGATATCAAAAGTAGTGCATTGAACATCAACCATGCATAATTGGTAGCAAAGACCCTGAAGAATGTCCCCTCTACAAGAAGGGATTTGGGATATATCTCAGTGGTAGTGCATGTACTTAGCAAATACAAGTTCCTAGATTCAACCCCCTCTTCTATTTTTCCAAGGCTTAAAAAATTACACCCTCCAAATTTTGTTAAGATGTACAAGCAATATTGTAGTAAGGCCACCCATATCAGTAGCTGAGCCATTTGGCAGAAATTATTTGAGTTATTTGGCAGAAATGAAGAATATAAGAAAATTTAGCAAGAAATAGAGGCATGGCTCCAGTGATAGAGCACCAGCCTTGAGCAAGAAAAGCCCAGAAAGAGCTCAATTTCCTGAGTTCAAGCCCCAGCAACAGCACACACACACACACACACACACACACACACACACACACACACAGAGTGAACTAATTTGGCTGGCATTCTACCACTTGAGCAACAGCTCCACTTCTGGCATTTTGCTAGTTAATTGGAAATAAGTGTCTTTCAAATTTGTACAACTAAAATCTTGCTAATGAGAAAAAAATCACAAAAAAATGAAACTCAAACCAGTTTAATTCTGCAACATTAGGGACATTCTTTTTTTTTTTTTTTGGTCGGTCATGGGGTCTGAACTCTGGGCCTGGGTGCTGTCTCTCAGCTCTTCAGCTCAAGGCTAGCGTTCTACCACTTGAGCCGTAGTGCCACTTGTGGCTTTTTCTGCTTATGTGGTGCTGAGGAATCAAACCCAGGGCCTCATGCATGTAAAGCAAGCACTCTACCACTGAACCACCTTCCCAGCCCCTAGGACATTCTTTTTTTTTTTTTTTTTGTGAAAATACCGAACAGAGGGGTCACAATTACATGGGCAAGGTAATGAGTGCATTTATCAAGCATTGCTGCCTCCTCCTTTGTTTCCCCTTACCATCCCTTTTCATCTTCCCCTCCCTCCCCTGCCCAGGACATTCTTATACCCTGTTTTATGTGGTAACTGTAGCTGTGAGAAGTGGCCTAGATATGGCTAATTTGGACTGCCAACTATGCTGTCTCTCCCCAGAAAGCCTGCATGCATAACAGGGAGATAAAAAGCTGACACCACTTGTGACACTTTGTTCATAGGTGCAACACTTCAACCAATTTATTTCAGTTGATTTTCTGAATCCCCACTGGTTTTTAAGCAATATTTACTGGAACCAGGAACAATTTGTTTACAAGAGAAAGAACACAAAGAATTGTAACACTCAAGTGAGAAAAAGAACCCAGGCAAAAGAAAGGCTTTGAAAACAATCCATTTATATAAAAAACAAAAGGGGGGAGGAGGTAGATGTTTTCAGTTTAATCTTCAAATTCAGTAATTTTTATTTCCATGAGATGGAATAACCATGCTGCTCAGAAACAAATTATTTTTCAGAGTCTGCTGACAGCTTTCATCTCAGCTGGGGCTGAGTATATGGGGGGGGGGGGGGGGGGGAGAAGTACTGTATGCTATAGCCAGAATTCAACGTAACCAGAAGCTGGTAATTACTTCCTAACTGACCTTAGGTTTTGGTAAGATTTGCCCATACCTATCCTGTGGAGAATAGAAGGAATATTCTTCTGGTATTTCTGTTTCACTACAATTGAGTTTACTTTTGGTGCTAAAAAAAGTCACAGTAGACATGGTGAACTGAAACCCTTTTGTACAACTACCTAAGGGACAATAAAACAAAATAAATTATATTGAACAGAAAAAAACAGTCACAGTAAACATACTTTCCTTGGCTTTCCAAACAACTTCCAAACTTGTAGCCCAGGGCTACAAGATCACAACTGGAACCTTGTATTAAAGTTAAAATAAACATTTGCTTCCTTTTTTTTTTTAAGTTTTAGCAAGGATTTATTTAAGTAATGGAGTTAAAGTGGAGAGAAACAGAAAAGAGGGAGGAACTTGACAGTCTTACAGAGGGACAGAAAAAAAGATGGATCTGCTGCCAGGAGGCTTCAACATGCAAAGAGAGTGCCGTTTTCACTGGCAACAGGAGTGCAAATCACACAGTAGCAATTCCCTGGCTGCTTCAACCAGAGCAACCCAAATATAGTTCTCACCTGACTGAAAAGTCCCCACGGCCTACCACCAAAATTACATGGATTCCAGTTACTGTTAACCAGAATGCTGCCAGATTAACTGGCTTAACTGGTTCGCAATCCTGTTCTGTATTTCCTTGGCCAATAATAAAACACCAAGGAAAAGGTTAAAAACTGATTTTCAACATATTTTGCCAATGGTGATAGGAAGTGGGAGGGAGTCAAGATTCTGGAGATCAATATGCAAAAATATGCAGAATGACTTCACACGTCCAAAAACAATCATTTTGGCACTCAGATTGCCACAGTACAGAGCTTGGTTTTAATCTTAGCTAGGAAGATCTCAAAGAGGAGGCCTCTTTAGGTATTTTTCCTCCGCTAAAACAAATGCTGATCAACCATGATCATAGTTTTGCTTCTTTTCTATTTTCATCTTTTCCTAAAGACAATTGCACTATTCTGTGTCTGCCCTAACAAAATACCAGACTGGGTGGCTTAAACAGCAGAATCTATTTTCTCCAGAACAGCAGCTCTGGAGGCGGGAAGTCCAGCCTTCTCTGGATCAAGGTCCAGCAGAATTTGTTTCTGGTAAGGGCAGCTGCAGAGGAGAGGCTACAATCTCTTATTGTGAACATTAATGCTATCAGATCAGAGATTCACCTCATTGAATGGTAATTACCTCCATAAAGGCCTCATCTCCAAATATAGTTACATTTTGGATTTAGACATCAACATATTGGGTGTGGGACAATAAGCATTCAGTACATATAGCACCTATCCCAGATACCTAGGCATACAACTGACATACATCTCTATCAGTGGCTGGACTACAGGCTCTTCTGCAGTTCTTTTGGTCTCTGCAGCCCTCCACCATCCACAGTTTCAGTTCCCAGCCTTTCTTTTTATTTTGGGGGGGGGGGTCCGGTCGTGGGGCCTGAACTCTGGGTCTGGGCGCTGTCCCTCAGCTCTTCAGCTCAAGGCTAACACTCTACCACTTGAGCCACAGCACCACTTCCGGCTTTTTTCTTTTTGCTTATGTAGTGCTGAGGAATGGAACCCGGGGCCTCATGCATGCAAGGCAAGCGCTCTACCACTGAGCCACCTTCCCAGCCCAGTTCCCAGCCTTTCTTGAGAAGTTTTTAGCCCCTTTCTAGTTGCTACATATAATTGGAACTAGTGTCATCTTCTGTTTGTGAAACCATTTAGCCCATTCTACCCATGAGAAAAGACCACAGCAGGCAATAAAAACACCCAAACAGCTGGGTGCTGATGACTTACATCTGTAATTCCAGCTACTCTGGAGGAGGCTGAGATCTAAGGATAATGGTTTGAAGCCAGCCTGGATAGACAAATTTGAGAGACTTTTATCTCTAATTTACTAGAGTTATTATGGATCAAGTGGTACAATGAGTGAAAAAGCCAGAGTGAAAAATCTTGAGTGAAAAAGCTAAAAGAGAGAACCCAGGCCCTGAGTACAAAAAAAAAAAAAATGAAACAAACAACATGCTTGAACAAGGCTTTAGTGGGACTTCTGCCACAATAGAAGGGAGCAATGGAGGTCTCCCAATGTGAAGGAAGGTCGCTTTATATAGCCCACCACACATGAGCAGTCTCATTATCTGCTAACTTTTTCTTAAATCATGTTAGTTTGCAAAGATGTTCTGGGTCTGCCTGTCCTAGCTGTTATGTTAGAAGTACTCTTTCCAAACAGAATAGGAATTGATGTGAAATCGGTTGCGACAAGCTACTATTCCCCTGGGGGGATACTACTTGGAAATCTTGCCATTATTATCATCACCTTAGCATGAAACTACTGCAGCCTGGATCTAACTTTACCATGAGATTGAAAGATTTATAGGCTCCAAAAAATTAAAAGAAGTACAATTACTACTAAGGAGCCAACCAAGGTTAGAAAGTAAGTTAAGCTTAGGAGAGAGCTTCCTTAATCACTGTGTAGAGAGTAGACCTATTACCAACAAGGAAATAAATGCTTTGGTATGCCTTGTTATGATTGAAGCCTTATCACTCACCAATCAGAACCTACTTGCAGTGCAAAGGGTAAGCTCAGTAGAAAGGCCTTTGGGATCATAAGTCAGATCCCCAAAACATCTGTGTGCATGTACATGTGTGTGCATGTACACACATGCACAAGCACACACAGACCCATAGTTTCTGACTAAATGTGATGAGTGGTACTGAAAAGAAGGTAATGCAGAAAGTCCTTGTAGAGGCACTAAGAGTTCCTCCTTTATGGAGCTCACAGTCACAACGTTCTCAAAAAATGAAGGAGAGATAAGACCCAGAAAAAAATCTAGACAACACACATAGCTAGATGCCAAGGCGCAGACGTAAAATTTGTCAAGTTTTTAGAAACTTTTCCACGGAAAGTTGATGGAGCAATGTAAATTCTGGCTAACCTGTGCCAACCAACACAGAGGATTACTGAGGATTTTACCAACCAACACAGAGGATTACTGAGGATTTTACTGGCAACAGAGATAATGCTTTACAATTGCATTATAAAAGTACTCCCTATAAGGAAATCAAACAGAATTAAGGAAAACATGATCTGGTATTGGGGTGTGTGTGTGTGTGTGTGTGTGTGTGTGTGTGTGTGTGTGTGTGTGTGTGTGTGTGTGTGTCTAAATTTTTTTTGCTCGAGGCTATCACTTGAGAATAGCTCCACTTTCAACTTTTTTGAAGGTTTATTGGAGATATGAGTCTCACAGGAGCTGGGAATGTGGCTTAGTGGTAGAGTGCCTAACATGCATGAAGCCCTGGGTTCAATTCCTCAGTACCACATAAACAGAAAAAGCCAGAAGTGGTGCTGTGGATCAAGTGGTAGAGTGCTAGTCCTGAGCAAAAGAAACTCAGGGACAGTGCTTAAGCCCTGAGTTCAAGTCCAGGATTGCCCCTCCCCCCCCCAAAAAAAAGTCCTACAGACTTTCCTGCCCAGTCTGACAGATCTTAGCCTCCTAAGTAGTTAGGATTGATTACAGCATAAGGCACCGGTGCCCAGCTTTGGCATTGGTTTTTAAACACAAGAAGGGCATTTGTGAAAAATAAGGAATAAACAGATTCTGTGAACTCCAAAAGGAGGGCTGGGGAGCCACTAGAAAAAAAAAATCCAGGCAGAAACATCCAACTCTGCTTTTTTCAACTCTTTAAGCATCAGATTATTAGGAAGTGGAGGAGAGAGTGACAGCACAGAGGTTTCCTTACCCCAAACCATCAAATAAGAGAAGAGAAACATCAGCCCACTGTGACTTTGGTTTCTGCATCAACAATGGATGGAAAATATCTGGAAAAAAATGAAAGAAATGGATTTATACTGAATACATATAGAATTTTAATCTTTATATCCTAAAAAATACAGTATAAGAACTATTTACATATTATTTACATGGTATTAGGTATTGTTAGTAACTTAGAGAAGGCTTAAGGCACATAGGAGGATACATATAGGTTCCATATAAATACTACTATTTATATAAGATTACAGCATTTGGATATTTTGTTATGGTTGGGTAAGGGATGGGGAGCAATCTAAGAACCAATCCCTCAGGAATATTGAGGGGAAATGGAGAGGATCATTGGAAAAAAACCCCGAGAACAGTCTAGAGGAACTGAGGGCAGCCCTCACTGACTTCTAGCCAGAAACAAATATGAATTCTATAAATTCAAGAAACTGAATTCTGTCTATAATCAGAATGATGTAGACTCTAGACCATTCAAATGGCAACTTGATCTGACTCTAGTAAGATACTAATAAATGCTGATAAGTGGGTGTTGTTTCAAGCCACTAAAATTTGTAGCAAATTATTGCATAGCAACATCAAACTAATGCAGCTGGCAGGTAGGCAGGCTTGACTGACATTATAAAACATTATGAAAAGCTTCACAAATATTACAAAGGCCTAGAGGCGCTAATGAGACAGATTAATAAGAGCTAAGAGAAACCAGAGCCAAACCAATGCAAGACTGAAAACAAGTGGCAGAAGGATTGCTAAGATATGCATCATCATAGGGAGTTTCAACAAGTGCTCTTTCATACCTTCTTTTTTATGCCAAATGGGGCATAATTATATATAACAAAACCATGTATTTTCTTCATGTGGTACTGCTGAGCTTTCAACTGAGGACCAACCTTACATTCTTGCTCAGCTTGCTCTCTCATAGCTGGTACTCTTACTACTTGAGCCATGCAGCTAGCCCTATTTTTGCTGGGGTTTTTTTTTGGGGGGGGGTCCGGTCGTGGGGCCTGAACTCTGGGCCTGGGCACTGTCCCTCAGCTCTTCAGCTCAAGGCTAGCGTTCTACC